CTTCTTTGCGCGGAGGTGTGGGTGGGGGGGGGGGGGGCACCAACAACTGAATAAGCTTTTTAGACTTATCTAATCGGCTTTTCCCCCAGGATCACGAACTGCAACACTGAATTTGTACTGGACCTTGTAATATATCAGATTCTCATTATGCATTTTTTAAGTGTTTTGTTTATTCTGCCTTTATTTTTTAGTGCCTACAAGCCCTGGACTTCTTGCATTCAAACCAAGTCATACACAGAGATATTAAGAGTGACAATATCCTTCTTGGGATGGATGGATCAGTAAAACTTAGTGAGTACTACTTTTTCATGTACCCAGATCCATTTGGGCACTGGCAGGCCATATAAATAACTATTTTATAGTACAGTAATGTCTTATGTGTTGTATTATATGCCGTGAGTGTTGTTTTTCAAAAACGTGCCTAATTTTTCATCTGTAACTGACTGAACTACCACTTTAAGCATTTATTTATAAATTGGAAAACATAAATTACCCTTCTTAATCAGGCTGATTGCTTTGCTACTCCTGTTTAAAAATAATGTAAAAAATGTCTAATTTACCACTGCACCTCCATAGTCTGTAATAGGAAGAAGCTGAACAGTGAGAATGCATGCTGATTATGAAAAAAGTACAGATTTCACAAATGTATATTTCATACTTTTTTTTTTAGCGGACTTTGGTTTTTGCGCTCAGATCACGCCTGAGCAGAGTAAACGGAGCACAATGGTGGGCACACCTTACTGGATGGCACCTGAAGTGGTAACAAGAAAAGCCTATGGACCCAAAGTTGATATTTGGTCTTTAGGAATCATGGCCATTGAAATGGTTGAAGGAGAACCACCTTACCTTAATGAGAACCCTCTCAGAGTAAGTCACTGGAATAGGAAACACATATTTATGCTGTGCTACACAATTTGTTTGAGGCCTAATTTTTCACTTTCTTACTTTGAAACGTTTAAGGTTTTTCCAAATGGACAGCATATGGATGGATTGCTAGTGAACTAGGCTTAAGGTTATGCTTTTACGCGTTCACCAGTGACAGTTCTTTTATTAACCCCTTCGTGACGGGAGACGTACAGTGTACGTCTTGTCATTTAAAAGGGAAAGTACAGTGTTTTTTTTATAGTGTACATAGAAGAAAGGCATTGAAAAGGATAAATATTCCCATTAATAAGGTTAAAATCTATCCTAATAAAAATTAAATTTCCAGTTAGGCCCGGTTCACACCATGGCGTTTTGTAGCGCGTTCGAACGCTCTGCAAAACGCTCAAACACTGAAATCCCATTATTTCCTATGGGTATGGTTCACACCTGGGCGTATTACAGGCCGTATGTACGCGCTACAAAATGTCCTACGCCCAAAGAAGTACAGGAGCTTCTTTGGGGCGTTTTTGTCGCGCGTTTCCATTGGGATACAGCCCAGTAGCCCTCTGAAATGCGCGTTTGTCGTGCGTTTTTTACCGTGAATCACGGTAAAAACGTGCGTCACTAAATGCGCGCCAAAAGCGCATATTCGATACGCCTAGGTGTGAACCCAGCCTTAAAGTTAAGGATTCTGGGGTGCCAAGGCACTTGACATTCAAGAAGCATTTTCATATATTAAAGTGGACCTTTTACCTCCTTTTTACTAAAAATCTAATCAGCATGCAGCTCTGCATGCTGATATAAAATCATTGAACAATTCATTAGTTAAACATGTTTTTCATTTACTTACAAATGGAGTTCCTCTACTTCCTGTTCCAGTTCTGGCACAAATGATGTAACGTGCCCAAGCATTGCATCCTGGGAAGGTTACCTCAGCAGAGCATTGCTGGGAAATCTCATCTGTAATGTCATGAGATCTCAGAGAAAGGCATTTCCTCCCCTGAGATGATGTGCATGGTCGCATGTCCTAGTCACATGTCCCAGAGTTCAAGGAAGTAAATGGAGAGTTAGTAATCTGCCCTTAGTTAACCTGGCCGCTGTCAGAAGACTGGGGAAGAAAAGAGAAATACAGAATGCAAAGAATACAAAGCCGGCAATTATCTAAAAGTATGTGTTTGTAGATTGTCATTGCTAAACATTTCTAAAGGTGTGTTTGTTATTTTAACCCCTTCGTGACTGACGACGTACAGTGTACGTCGCCAGCATCAGGGCTGTTTAAACAGACTCCCGATGGATATTGCCGCCGAGAGTCTGTTTAAACTTGTAAAGCCGACTGTCGGCTTTACAACAGAAACTATTCTGGCGACTTACCTGTCGCCAGATCACTTCTGTGTGCCGTAGAAGGGACCGCCCCCGCCGGACACTTCCACCGTGCTTCCCGGGCTCCGTTGCCCCTCCTACGGGCCCGGGACCGGCTTCCTTGGTGTCCGCGGGGAGCTGGGGAGGAGGTCGACGAACTTCCGTTCATCGATCCCCTCCCCGTTCTATGGGACCGGGAGCGATGCAGATTGCATCACTTCCGGTCCCTGGGCTGTCAGTTCTGGGCTCCTGCAGCCCAGCTATAAGCTATTGAAGTGCGATGTGCACTTGAATAGCTTATTTCCAGTGTAAAGGTGACACTGGGGGTCTTTTGGACCCCCAGCATCACCTTAAAGAGTACCTGTCACCACCATCTGCTATCACATGGGGGGGTTTGTAAGCCCCCCTATGTGATAGCAGTCAAAGTAAAGTAAAACAAAAAAAGGTTTTTAAAATAAAATAAATCTAATTAAAAAAAATTTTAAGTCCCCTGCCCCCGTGAGCACGGGCATCGCCACGTAAACACGCGTCGGGTGCGCCTGCGTATGAAAATGACGAACGCGCTACACATGTTGGGTATCACCGCGCACGCCAGAGTGAGAGCCATAATTCTAGGGCCAGTATTTTGGGGTATCTCTAAATTGATGACCTGTGGGGGCTTTTAAAGCGTCTTCTATGGACTTTTTGGGGTACTGCAGTTTTTCGCCGTTTCACGGACGCACGCAATTTGGAACCTGGGCATGTTGGGTATCGTTTTACTCGTTGTAACCTCATCTTTTATATTTCATTAAAAAAGGGGTATGTTGTTGTGTTTTAGGGGAATTAAATTAAATGTTTCACTAAATGTTGGGGTTTAATAAGGAGTTGCGCTAATATTGCGCAACATAAAAATTTGCAACTACCGACATTTTATTCTATACGGTCTTGGCATTCAGAAAATATATAATGTTTGGGGGTTTTAAGTCATTTTCAGGCCTAAAATGTGGAATATAACATGGGTGCAAACAATGAAAAAAAGGCCTCAGTCATGAAGGGGTTAAAGATATGGGTAAAGGTCCACTTTAAGTTTTCTCCTTCTTCTCTTTTGGTGCTGCCATTGCTATGTATAGCTTTTAGGATAAAGGTAGTAGTTATGTCCCCCTGTAAATTTTCTCTTGATTAAATGAGAAATTCTTAAAGAGCTGTACAACTTTATCTTCAACAAATTACAGTAGCAGCAAGGAGGCCTTCCATCTTTAACATGGCCTTTTTACAATAAATGAAGCTGGTCACAGATGAGCGGGTTTTTCAGTGAGAATTACAAAATGCTAGGGAAAACATCTTTGTCTCCTGGCAGCTAAAAAGTCAATTCTGTGTAATTGGATAATACCTGAACTCCCTTCTATGGATACATTCCGCCCCCTGTTAGTCCGCCTGTTGCTACTGGATAAAGTAGACACCAAATTGAATCAATTACGCACCAAAATTTTCTTCGACACTTGAACATCTTTTGTTACAGCGTAATTTTCACTACCACAACTGCAAGACTTGATGTCCATTTTTCGATGATCTAAATGGTATCTTGGAAGCCAAACTGACTGGTACCCTAGGATCTCTAGATGTCCTTTGACCCATGATATTCTGCACTTAACCGAGGTTCTCATCATACTAAAGTATGTATGGTCCTCCTGGTATACCCATGATTACCTCCGTTGTTGAGAAATGGTCTTTTCCCCACAGTATCGACCCTCATGGCTTTTGGGTTATCGGTTTATTGTTTTCTTTATTCATACTTGATGTGCAGTATCACTGAAGAGCTTTTACAATGCTGTGTATTTGCTTCTAACTTTTTTTTTCTTTTAACTTGGATGTTTTTCTCTCTGCATGTGAGTGCTTTTCACTCACCTCATAGTTCTAGCCGACCTGTGACAATGAGACTGTCACAGGCCGGCTTAGTAGATCGGAAGGTGAGCGAACACATACCGGCGTTCGCTCACCTCTCGATTCTATCACGGCTCTCTGCCGTGACAGGGGAGGGGCTGGATTCCCCCCGCTCCGATCCGCCAGCGCTGACTGGCGGAACGGACGGGGGAGGAGGCGGGTACAGCTGGCTCTGCTTCTAGATAGGCAGAGACAGCTGTCAGTCACGCAGCTGGGCGGATCCAGACATAATTGTCGGGATCCGCTTCAGCTGCGGCGTCTCAGTAAACCGCGAGCAGCAGCTCGGGGTATACTGCGGCGTCTCAGTATACCACGAGCTACAGCTCGTGGTATACTGAGCCTAGGGTGATGGGAGGATGCTAGTTTGTGTCCTACCGTTACCCTAAGGAGAACTATGGGGAAAATCCTTAACCCGATAATTCTCCTTTAAAGTCTTGAAGTTCCTCATCTGATGTTTACTAAGTGTATATGGATATTTGACCTGTATGCTTAGCCAGACAGATACATCTTACTAGTTAATGTTTCTATATATTGTAAAGGCACTGTACCTGATAGCTACCAATGGAACCCCAGAGTTGCAGAACCCAGAAAGGCTGTCCGCTGTGTTCAGAGACTTCCTCAACCGATGCCTAGAGATGGATGTGGACAGGAGAGGCTCTGCCAAGGAGCTTCTACAGGTCAGTGTAATATGTCTGTATGAATTGGTATGTGTGCCTTTCCTTACAATCAGCACAACAGTATCGACATATTATAGAAACAATATGCTCATTGTATTAGGTCAGGTTACTTTCATGGAAGTAACAATACCTAAAATGTTGCAGTACATCTTAAGGCCTCAGTAGGTTTACTTTTTCTCCACTATTTACAGTAGATTTACCTGTTAAGGCACTAGCTGTATAAACAGACAGAAGGTGAAATGTGGTCTATGACATTAAATCACAATTGATTTAGTGGCAGCAATTAATTGCAGTCCATTTCTTTCTAGGTTTTTTTTCTTCCCAGTGGAAACAAAGCAGTCAGTGGAGTGTATTATTTAATAGTGATTCCATTACTTTTACTGCTCAATCTTTACTAAATGATCCCCTATCCCTCCCCACTTTCACTTTGCTAGCTCTATGCAGACTTTCAAAAGATGTATACATAGTAAAAATTATAAATAAATGCAAAATATAAAAGATACATTTCTTTTATAAACCTAAAAAATGAACATAATTGACCCAGAACTGAACCATTATAAATTCTCTTTTAACTGTATTGGCTGAAAGCATATTGGCAAAGTTGCTATGATGAAGTCATCATTTCAGGGTATCTTCACGGCTATGTGTACCCATTCTAATGCACGTGCACTGGTGTACATACGATTTTATGTGTACCTGTCCATTTCCTATGAGCCATCAATGAGGCAAAAAACTCACATGGTCTTATTTTCTCTTATTGCAGTGCCAGGTTCCCACAGGTGTATGTGTTGCACTAGGGTCATGTGGGGTTTTTGATGTGTTGAGGGTGCATTAGAAATGAATGAGTGCACTCTTAAAACATGTACAAATCATGTAAGCACTGCATATCAGTACATAAAAAAATGGACATTAAAATGCACTTTCCATCATGCATAGATATAAATGCTTCCTCTGTGCATGAACATACAGTACATTATGAATATAATCACCTTTCCATAACAGGATGCTATGCTGATGTCCAATGGTTTTGCGTTTTTGTCTTGCAGCATTCATTTTTAAAACTAGCCAAGCCTCTCTCTAGCCTGACTCCACTGATCATAGCAGCAAAGGAAGCCATTAAGAACAGCAGCCGCTAGCTACGGTGGACACAAAGCTGTAGCCTCTGCATTAGAACACAGGACTCGGCAGAATCAGAAAACCTCATCCCCTCACACAGCAGGATAACAAGCTAAGCAGCTACTGTCGTGGGGAGACATAACCCACCATGATGCACCTACTCGTGTCTTCTACCTGCCCTTATGGATTCCTTAAACTTTTTTTCGTTTTGTAAGTAGGAACAGAACTACAACATTCAACTTGGCACGTTGGAAATTGGTGCTGCACGTCCGCACGTTGATCCCCTGCAGAAATTTTCCATAGATGGGTTGTACATTCATAAGGATTAAACAATTTTTTTTCCATCTGGCTTTTTTTTTTTTTTTCTTTTTTGCTTTATATTTAAAGAAACAAAAAACTAAAAAAAAAAAATCTTTCTGCATTTCCAAATATGCAGCAACATTGACAGGTCTGTCGGTCTGTGTAGACCTTACCATCTGATTACTCTGATAGTCTTATCTCCATGTTTATCATCACGGGGTTGGTTTACTTGCGGTACGATTTTGTATGTGTGAATAACCATGTGACTTGGGAAGGTACACCTTGATGCAAGAGAGCCATACACATGGTGGTTAAACGTTCCAACTTGGTTATAACCTGGGTACAGAGAGATAATGTAGTCTGCTTTAGCAGCAAAGTGATCCACATACAAGGCTTGTGGCATTTGTTTTCATTGAATAGCAGAGATATGTTTATTTGTCCATTAGTTGTCTAGGTTAACCCCATCAGTACTCTGATTTTCAGCCAAAAAGTCTTATATAAGTAGATTCTATGTTGCACAGTCAAATAGCCATTTTATGGGCTGGATTCATATTTTTAAAAGAAATCCTGTCAATCCATGAGTTACTTTGGGCTTCAAATGCAAACATGTTGTTCATTGCAACCATTCATACATGTATATGTAATGAAGGGGTCCAATGATATGATATGCACTGGTTCAACCCATAAAACTGTCATTACCATCATGTGGCTTATGCAGTAAAGTAGTGCAAATAGAAATGATGATGTGAATAGTATCAAAAGCATAGCAACCAATCAGAATTTCTCTGAACTGATCTGATTACAGTAAACTGAAATTGAATTGGTTGCTGTGGTTTAACACTCTTTGCACATTATTCTTACTCATTGCACTTTCTTTTTGAACACGCTTGCTACAAATGCTACTTTTTTGTGTAATGGGGTTAAAAGTGCCAACAAAACAAAAATGGTCTATTTCCCATGTACAAACTTGATATATACAGGTGAAACTCGAATAATTAGAATATCGTGCAAAGTTCATTAATTTCACTAATGCATCTTAAAAGGTGAAACTAATATATGAGATAGACTCATTACATATCTGGATGTCTCTAAAATATTCAGTTGTGAATGAATCCTATTAATTTATCACTCTTTCATTTGCAATAGTGAATTTAAATGGTGACATGGCAGGATGTTGTGACTGCAATGGCTGGCCACAAAAAGATAGAAGCTCCACTCCAAATATAGACAATTGTCAACGATTCATTCTATCAATCACCACAGAATGTTGGGTGTAAAAACACAAAAAAGGTAATATAGTAGATAGAATTGCAATATATATTCCTTTGGTCTGCAGAGATTACCCATCTCCAGGTAAGGAAAGAAATGAATCGCTTAACTCCTAATGCTGTTCAGGAAACATTGTAATTGTGCAGACGTCAGAACGCCAGCTCAGTTTACCTTAATATACATTTTAAGTGATCCAATGCTGCTACATTCCAGGAAGCACCTCACATGTGCTTCTTGGTGGGTGTACTTCCTCAGGTCATGTGATTTCTTTACTGGGTAACTTCCTTTTATCTATGTTTTAAGAGGCAGTAAATACTTTATAGTGGGCGAGATTGAGATTTCCTGCCCTGCATATTCAAATGTTACAGCAGTAGATTTTCCCAGAACAGAATACTCCCAACAATGCGTTTTTTGTAAACACGAATGTAGCTTTATATAACTATTACAATGTCTGGATAAAAACACAAGTCATTGTGTTTAAGGCTGTATTGTTGTTAACATTTCAAGGCTTCATTTTCAGGTTTTATTGGAGCCTACCTTTAAAGATAATCTCTTAGCGGCTTTGTGAGGCTTGATTGGTTGCCATGAATTTCTATTCACCTTTACTCTTTGTGGTAAATTATGAAACTGTTAATTAGCAGGAATGGTATCCATGAATAATGACACTGAGGGAATGTACCATCATCACTGCACATAAAAGAATACAAAAAGAAAAGCTTGGGACTTTTAATGTTTACAAATGTAAATCTACATAGATCTCAATATTTAAGATCCATATTTTATTTACAAAACCTCCTAAAACCCCTCATAAAAACTATGTGTTGGGCTGGTACATGCTTCATTCCACATTAATTGCTAAAAATACCCCCATTAACCTTGCCATATACATACATTTTTTATCCTATATATGATCAAAATGTGTACACATTTATTATGACTCTTGGTGGTGGGACTGCAGTAGTATCTCAATGCATTTCATGAACATTGGTCACTTCAGAGCATGTGGATGGTAAGTAGCTATTTGCAAGTAATCCCAGCCACTTAGTTAAAATTATTCTTTCACTTATGTGTGCATGTCCTACAGAGGAAGCCAACAGAGGATACCACATGGAATCTGTACACGCCCCCAGTCTGAAGACAACCTGGTCTCTATTGCTTATTGTTTGTAAATAAAATATGTAAGTTTTAATATTGAAATCTGTGTAAGTTTACATTATTGTACCTTAAAAGTCCCAAGATTTTATCTTTATTTTTTGTATTTTTAAAATTGGGATAAAAAAGCTCTTAAACTCCATGGGGCAGTTTTCTATCTGATATTGCTGTGTAGGACAGAATCAGATTGATGCTTAAAAGCCAAAGACACGGGTAGTCTATTGAATGGTCTTTTGCAAATGGCACAAACTTTAAAATGTTAAATGTTCTACCGTTGTCGAGTGTATAGATTCAGCTCAGTGGCTTTGTCTAAGGTTTATAACCATGAGATTTCTGGACAGCGTAAGTGACCTTAAGTAGGGATTTGTTGGTGCCATGATCCTTTTAGTTATGGATAATGTGATTTTGGTTCTTACTATGATGGGATACATTATTATTTTTTTCAATTGTAGCCAAGGTAAAGAGATTGAGCTATAACATGATTTGGGTTTATTCAGTAGGCAGTTCAAAGATATGCAACATGCAAACCGCTTTAACCGATAACAACCAATCAGAGTCAAGCTTACTGTACTATATAATTTAAGAGATGGGGTTGCCAGACATTTAACGTCATTGTTGCTCTTTGCACAACTTTAGAGAGAGATAGCATTAGATAGTATGCCAGGATATTTGTTAAAGCATCCGAGACATATCTAAATGCTATGCCTAATGTAACAGACACAGTCTCTTGGGTTAGGAATACATTTACTGCCATTGATGGTGCAGGTCTTTATTTTGTCGCCTAAGAATATACTATATAGAATATGAAATCCATGTATGCAAAGGCAATACCAGTTTAGGTAAACCATGATGGCAAACTACCAGGTCCTAGGAGAAATGTGAACTGCTAAATTACAGGCACCTCGTAATTGCGGCAAGAACCTATGTTATTCTTTTTACCAATTTCTATGTGTCTGCAAGATCACTGTATTAGATGTATACTTTATACAGATCCTCAGTTTCTGCTCCAGTCAGCACCTAGCCATCCCTTTTCCAGAAGGCAAGCTGCACACCTGCCATTCTGCGGACCAAAGCATGAGCCTCAGTTTTCAGTAAAGGTTTGGGAGTTTGAGCTGTTTAATGTTGAACATTTAAGGCAATGTTTAGGACCCAACCGCTTTAATTTGTGATCCACAGTAAATAATATTGTTAAAAGCATTACATGCTTAACCTTAATGCCATGTAAGAAATGTTTTTACATCCCTATTGCAATTGCTTTGGCCTGTATTGTTCATTGAAACAAAGGCAAATCATCAATTGAAAGTTTTACAAAACTTTAGTTTTGTAATTGCCTGTATCAATAGCCTGACAGCCATCTATGACACCCATCACTGTGTTTAAAATAGAGAGAATACCAAGCCATTGTCTCATGGAAGCTGTTTTTAAAATTATGTATATCCAAAACTTTTTTTGTTTACAATGGGGATTTTGATCCTTCCCTACTATGTCAGGTTTTATTTTGTTCCCTCTATCTCCCCGAGGTGAACAGGAAATGAGAATTCCCATCTTAGAGTGTTGTCACGGGAACATGTGTCCCAAATAGAGGATTTATCTAATTTCTTGCTCTGGAGGTAATTCTAAAATGTAGGTTTTTTTTAAAATGATCTCTGGACAAATAGTGGTATGAATCTTCTATCAGGCAATAAGAACCCAAAAGGGGGGTCAAACCTTCCCTCACTCTATCCAAAACTAAAAAAAAAAGTTTCCTTTACATACACTTTAGAGTAGAATTCCAGGCACATATATCAAAACGTCATTTAACCCAGCTACCTATTAAGTTGAATGTCAATACCTTTATTTTAAAAGTGAACAAGGAAGAAACCTAAATGTATTAAACTAACATGCTGGAGATAACTAACTGAATAAGCTGTCGACATACTTCCTGACTTCACGTTTATGATTTACCATTCCATTACTGCTAGGAGCCCTCTTGCAGTTGGGTGGAAGATGGTTGAAAGTATTCTTACAATATGTGAGCGCTGTCATTCACCCTATAGTGGAATGCTCTCCATTTTTTAAACTGTCCTCCCACCATCCCTTTTGAATTCTTGATGCATGGTTGAGAATCTCCAGTTAACAAACAAAACAGCAGTTTACTTTAGAAAACAAGTTACCAATTCACTCTCCTAGTATATATTATTACAAGTTGTTATACAGTACCAGTGGGTGTAATAGAGAGTACTGTTGACTTTCTCAAAAAATCTTTAAAACAGTGAAGGGTTTCTTTTCTTCTTGAAATCATTTAATCATAGTCTTATCTGGAAATGGAATCAATACTGATTCTAAATGAATTACCCTATGCCCCTTATTTAGGTGATTCTGTTCTTGGATGGGTCTAGATGCTGTTAAATACTGAGAGGGGAATTTATCAAAATTGGAGCAGCAGAATCTGGAGCAGGTGCCCTTGGCAAGCAATCAGCTTCTCTCCTTCATTTTTAAAGTTTAACTGAACATACTTAAATGAGAAGCTGATTGAGTGCCATTGGCAACTGCTCCAGATTTTGTCTGCACCAGTATTGATAAATTCCCCCCTGAGAGTTTATAAGAGAGTTTCTGAAAGGAGAAGTACTGAAAATGTGAAGTGGGCTAATTTTGAAAGTCCTATATAATGAAACAAACCGTTAAAATGTAATTACAAATAAAACTTTCTTTTAGTTGTTTATAGGGTATGGAAGAATTAAAACTCCTGTTGACTTTTTTATTGTCTTTTATTTGGTAGCTTTACCCTAACTTCTTGTGCCGATGACCACTGTTTCTATACAATAATATAAACCTGATGCAGCCCTTTAACCACTGCACTCCAAAGTGTTTTCAATGTTGTCTTTATCCT